TGACAGAATGGGATTTTTGTGTGTTTTTCTCTGCTTTTGGGAGCGATAGCGAGTTACGGTATAGAATATAGAACGTTCCTTATGATGTGTTTTCTCCTCTATTTTTCCAGTTACCTACAACCATGAGTGAATGGGTCTCCGCATTCTCTCTTTCTGTGCTCCAGTAGACTTCGATTCGCAATTTATATCGGAAGTTGACCTGCTCGAAGAAACACCCATCTTTCGGCATGGTTCTTTTATTCATGACCTTAAAGGAATAAAATGAATACTCTCTCATGGTTCTCTGATATGATCAAGTGACATTTACAGGTGAAAAATAACTACTTGGCATGACCCTGCTCCTTCCCGAAAGTAATTATCTGAACTTTATATACATAGTAATAAATAGAGGGTGGCTGGCAAGGCTGCGTGTGGCTGTGACGAAAATCTCGCGAGATCGGCCTGCTTGAGCTCGCAAACAGGTAATCCCAACGTAATTCTCTGCAATCTTCTAGATGTTCTTCTCGAGCACTGCAATTCTCTGCGACTGGAATGGGAGAAGGAGATCATCGAGGGGGGAACTACAGTGTCTTTACCTATAATAATTATATGTACATCCAGAATGCTCATTTGGTGAAGGGGCCTTGGGAGCCTCGTGACCTACCGGAGATTCGGGTGCGCTTAGTCAGATCTAATTGCGGCCCACGAGGAATACGAATGACACCTGTCGGATATCAGTCTTGAGTCGGATAGCATAACTCGGGCCCGTCTGTGGTCTTCCGGAGGTCGCTCATGACAAATAGGAGCTCCGAAAAGTGTCGTGAACTAACCTCGATTGTGAACAGCTGCTGCACATTCGAGAAAGCCTCCTTGTTCAACAATTGCTTATTATGGACATCGTTCGAGCGTTTGAGCTTGACGCAACCGAGAACGTCGCTGAATGAGCTCGAGACGGGGGACGCGAGCTCAAGACTTTTGGTTCCGGGATGATCGGATAATTCCAATCAAGATCTGTATCATTCTTCAGCGTTCTTGGTGCATGAGTGCCCGCGGGGCTCTCCGAGCCCTTCTCAACGTAGCCGACGACGGAGACCTTTGACGGTTCCTGCAAGTTCGACCGCTCCTTAGTTTTCCTCCCTCGCCACATAATCGATAGTTTGCCAGACAGTCCCCTGACTCTCCGGCATTTCAAGTAGGATTAACATGCAAGCTCCAAAAAAACTGATGATGATCATCGAGATCTTTCTTCGAAGCTCACCACAACGACGGCTTCGTCGAGGTCAGTTGCGAATCCTTCAGGAGGCCGGATGGTGGGAATCTGGAGGAGATCAGCTTCCTCGTCTCCGCTGTCCGATTGTTGATGATCCGGGCTCTGAACCGTGGGCGAGGCGGCTGCGGAACCTGAAGATGCGGAGGTGCCTGCCCGCGAGGACGCTCGAATTTTCCGATGCGCGTAATCCTAGAATTCGTGTAGAGAACTGACGTCCGTTGCTCCTTTGTGTTCGATCGTCCTTGGAAGTGATGCGACGATCGCTGATCGAGTCGGAGATTCATTCGACATATCATACCTTGAAGCTCGAGCGCCCAGAGTCCGTCGTTCCCTGTGTATTGTCGCTGTGGTCCGAGTCTTCGGTGTCCGAAGACTTGGCAGATGATGCCTTCGAGGGGACCGCCTTCCTCAAAGCGCAAACTTCCAGCTCGAGACCCTCGCAGCGTTCTTTGAGCTCTTTCTCGATGGTCATCAAGGAAATCTTGTCGACCTCGAGTCTCTTCAGAGCTCGTCGTAGCAGGTCCAACTCAGTTTTCAGCTTCGTGTTTTCGTTTTTGATCTTCTTTCTCTCGGCTAGAGCGTGCTCCACGTTCAGAAAGTTTTCCTTCCATCGGCGCACCTCGTCCCAGACAGGATCCTGTGCGGCAAACCCCTTCTCGAAAAGATTCTTCTCCAGAGCAGCAACGTCGAATCCAGCCTCGTCCAACTCGTTCTGTATACGAATTTTGTCAGAAGCTGTCGGTGTGTAGGTGTGTACACAGTTCAGGAAATGAAGTGCAGCGAGCTGAAAGAAACCAAATTATTCCGCTGGAGGGGTCCCATCGTTGTTGGCAACCATATTGAGCTGTCGTGAATTAAATCTTCTGAGTGAGCAGTCGGAATAGCACGCCTGTCTCACCTCGAAACCAGCAGCCATTTTGCTTCTGTTAAGCAACATGGACACGAGGAACTTGAAGCGGACCGTTTCTCCGTGGATGACGCGAACCGCTGATATTGAGTCCATGACTTTCTGGTATCCAGCGGGATGCTCCTCAATGACTCGTGACATCAGCTGAAGGGCGAGTTTCCTTGTAGTGGTACAAGTTGACATGACCGAAGACGCAACTGATGTCATCCCGCTTGAGTGAGCAACGAGCTTCGTGAGCGATTTCTGTTCAAATGAAACAAAGGAAATTCATCAGTAATCAGGCATCGGAGCTCCTGGGAGAGCGAAGCAGCGGCGTCTCGCTGTGGATCTCTCAGCTCATTCGGCTAACTAAGATCTCCACCTCACGGGATTCGGGGCGATTCGAGAATCCACAACGTTTTTCGCTTGATCTAGTGATGCGATTCTAGCCGCCAGAGCGTGTGTCCTTTCATTCCACAAAGCCCGACGGATTCCATAAGATCTCTCGCTCATTCGTTTTCACTGCCTATCTTATTACTATTCGGGGCTATTTCCCCCGACTCTGGGGTCGGAGCTGATGAATCACTCACCTTGCAACGAAGCGTATAGAAGATGCATTCGATGCAATCGAGCTCCTCGGACTGCAACAGGAAACTCTGTTACTGCTTTCTCTTCATCATCCCTGCGATCGGGAGGTGACTTATTCTGTATTTTCTCCGGTGGAGCCGGAATTCATGCCGCGCCCGATCATCGCTGCGCGCCCGGATATCTTTAAGTGATGACGTCGATAACGATCAGAGCGAGATGATGCCGGGGATTCAGCTCATCTCGAGATTGAGATGCGGCTCGCCTTCCACTCGTAGAAATATAAATTGGCCTATTGAATGAAAATCCAATAGATCTTCTCTTGGATCAAACTCCCACTAGCCCGGTTGTGGAGGCGTGGTCATGAATCTGGAAATTCGCTGTAATTTGTTCTCGACTCCAGCGGTCATATTTTCGGAAAGCAAACGGCCCGTCTCGTTGTTCGATCTTGTAATTTGTTTCGCTCGCAACGATTTCCAGCCATTTTGATTGGACTCGTAACCCATTACCGAGAGCCGCTCAAAGAAGGAAGAACTCATATGCCCGCCTCGACCGAGACGCTTCGAAGGAAGACCCAGCAGATTTCGTCAGACTCGGTCGAGCTCGGCTCCGCGAGGGAAGGATGAGGGATGGTACAGAAAAAGTGCTCGGAAGATCTCCCTACCTCCCACTTTTTTCCATCGATGTGTGCTTGTGCCATGTTGCATCGTCATCGTATTTATTTCGGGGACGTGTTCCAGATTTCCGATATATCTATCAACGCAGGAGTGGCGGAATAGGCGAGTTTCGCATTGTACTTCTCGTGCCATCGGTGCTCAGACACCGTGTGCGCTGCTCGTAACGAGGCGAGATCATTGCGCGCGGAGATGATTCCAGATACTCCCCCTCGTCGACGATGCCGTGACCGCCGCCACCACACCCGGCCCCTCGCCACAGAATTAGACCACAGAGAAACAAAAGAATGAAATATCAGAAGATGTTGGCTGCCTTTTCGGCATCACGATCCCGGATCACAAAAACAGCAACTGAACTTGATCAAGTTCAGCGAGAATATCGCGGCAGCGCGCAAAAATCGGGGATGAATTCCGGGTTCGCTCGGCTTGCCGAGAGATCCCCGTCGAGAGCTTTTCGCTTTCGGAATTTCTCATCACGCAACTCGTGTTGAAATAGAATCGCAGGATGAGCTACATTATCCCAGCAACACTGAAAAAGGTCGAGTCGGACAGTAACAATAAAGCTAATGCTCGCTGTGGGCGGGTTGCGAGGATGAATTGCGATACGATTCGCCATCGGAATGCGGAATACGGATCAAAGATCCAAGCGGCGAGTATCAGTGAACTGCTGGAACAGATTCGGATTCGGTTTGTATCCGGCGTAGCCTGATGGATTCTATGGTTGCGTATTAACGATCGCTCAGACCGTCGAACGTAATCCCGAGGCGTGCTAATCGATTGTCTGTGGATCTTCGTCCCCGATAACCAGGCCGGCAGGCGGTTGACAGCCTTCGGCCATCTATGCCTGACGAATCGCAGAAGCGTCAACATCGATTCTCGTATTGTTTCCTTCGTAGGTTGAAGCCACATAGGTCGACCGTTTCGGATAGCTGACTATGAGGTCGACGCAGACGGTCCCTAGCCGCGACGTTGCGATATGAATGGAGTCGGTCCAGGGTTCCCGCCTGGCGAGACGGATCGACAACGTGCTGTTCGATTTCAGCAAGAGATGCACCTCATCCTCCCGGGGATATTCTTTAACGCGTTGAGTCACGTTGCGTCGAGCAGCTTCCGAAGGTCCCCTCTCCGTGCCCGCACCCATCGAAATTCGATGTTCTCCACCGCTTGTTGTCTACAGCTCCAAGAATAATAATGGTTTATCTATCTTCATTCACCTCGAGACGATTTCTTTGAGAGCCCCGTTTACGATTGCGTAGAAATTGATTTGAGTTGATGGCCGGGACCCGGGACGGCTCGCTTATCGGTGTCAATACGCAGATAAGGAGAGTGAAGCCCGCGGAACCGTCAATCGGCTCCCGCTTGTGACTTTTATGTGGATCGTGGGAAATCGTTCAAAAGAATCAGCCCGTAGCTGCGTTTCGATGTTTTCGGTGTCAAAATACATAATCGTCTAGTAGTGCTTGAATTCAAGCGGTTGTCCGCTTGGAATCGATGTCGTATGACTGTCGTCTGATATGATCGGTAATATTAGATACTCGAGTCGTTTCAACCATACACTAGAGTTTCTCATGAGCTCACGGATCAAAAGGGAAACTTCGACTCGAGAGAGAAACCCGTCTTCCCAGTCGATGCAGTTCGGACCCGCGAAGCTCGCGTCCACAAAGGAACGGAAGAAGGATCGGCCGCATCGAGCAGAGCGAGTCGATGCAGAATCCGTTCATCAGAGGGAGGCTACAGGGTACAGCGAATTCCCGAGATTCCCGGGAGAAATATCCAGGGAGGTCAGTTCCTCGATTTTCCCGGGTCCCATAATAGATTCCCACTGCCTCTCTAAAAGGGCTCACGGGAAGGGTTCTGCAGCGCTCCGTGCCGGGCTTGCGCTGAATGTTGCGTTCTGATAAATGGCGTCACCGACAGCCGCCGTGAACCGAGAATTCCGAGCCATGCCACGCGATGCCGAGTCAAGTCATGCCATCGTGATAGTATCTCTTTGTGGGCGACGGAATAGTGTCACTGAGTTCGTAGCTTCATTTTCCACGGGAGAAAAGTCATGAATCTTCCTCCCCGTTTCTTCGGTCCGCACCGCCAAATGTCGTTTCAATCAGAATCATCGATTAGTTCCGCGGATATTAGATTATATTCATTAAGCTCAGTCAGATCGAAACCTTGACGGACCCATAGAAATATCACAGCCGAATCGGATGGCCACTTCGGTCGTGGTGGGTTGGCGACGAGAAAGGGCCGAAAGCCTGTGAACAAATCGAATTCATTCGATGGCATTTTCTCCACACCCCTCCTCTTCGCCCCGAGAGTGTGCATTCAAGAGCAGATGACTCCGTTCACGGACGAGGAAAGCCAGGAAACGGGGAAAAGCCATCGTATAGGCGGAGACAAGCAGGGAAAACCGTGTTTGACGCTCGGCCGAATTTCTGAAGGCGAAATAAATTAAAATCGCTCGACTTCCTTCGCTTGTTTCCGATAAGGCGGGATTTTCAACGGGAAGATCCTCTTCGAACAAATGAGAGTTACTTCCATAAACGCCGATCAGATTGGGCGAGGTCGACGCTTAGATTTTGTCGTCACTTCCGAACGCTTCAATTGAAGCTTGTCGGCCTCATTAACTCCATTAACACGAAGCATTGAGACAGTATCCACGTTTTCCGAAGCAGGTCTTCAACGCCGCCGCTCAGTTTCGGGTGTTGTGCCCGGATATCGTCTGTTGCGCCCCACAGAGCGGTATCGATCAAAGTAATTCAATCACCGATATTTATTTTATACGACCTATTTTTCACAGCTCGTTTCAGGGGAAGTCGGCCCACGAGAACCTCACGCTAGGCGCTCTTTGGCAGGAATCGAGAAGGCAATCACCGACACCGCCTACGGAGCTTATGAAAATAGTACATGATGAAACGAGAATCGCGCTCCTGACCTCTGGGCATCCGGAGCTGATCCTAAAATTAATCAGAACACTCGCGCGCCCAGAAATATCGGAATTGTTTGCAGGATTGGAGTGAACGTTCGGATTTCGATCGCCCCCCATGAGGATTGCGTTCTGGCTTCGGGGACAATCGACGTATGATTGAGCGGCTTATAGTTGAGTGTCACTCGATACATTTCTCTGGCCGCATGGACGCAAAACTGACTGGCGGTGAAACGATAATTGCTCTGGCTTGTGGAGTCAGAAAAGAACACACACAAGCAAAGCGACAACATGATCGAGCATCGGACCAAATCGAATTGTCACTTCTGCACCAAATGGCGCACCGCCTGAGTGGGAGAAAGCAATCAAGGCTACCGCGTTTCCGATCACATCTGCTCACTTAAAATAAGCGTCACGATTCATCAAGAAGTCTTAGATTCATTCCCGCCTATCGTTCTGAGACTGCGTTCATTTTGACCGGCCGGCTGGGTGTCAGTCGGCGATCTCGAGCACAGCCAGACTTTATCCACGGAAGTACCAGACAGAGGTCGGATGGGAACATGCCCTCCCCCCACATCCCGCCGCATAGCGAGAATCATTCTGGATAATTAACTTTTGGATAATCCATCCAAAGCAAATCTTCCGCAGAACGCGAAGTCAGAGTCGTTCACGGTTTCCGATCCGGCAGCAAGGGGTAGCATCGACGAAGCGCCCCGAGGTCTGACGGTTCCGAGCAGTTATGTAGAGCACAATTATCAGGCAATCGAGTGTTCTGACTGATGAAGGGTTTGGTGACATTTCCCTCGCGACTTCCTTGACGGAACGATGAAAGATGTAACATCTTCATGACAGGTCTCTCTTCTTCCCTTATGTAATACGACTATCCAATACTTTACGGCTACCCGATATTCTTTTATTGGTGATCAGCCGCTTGCCGAACGGGCTTGCTGATCGACCGATTGGTCGACCGCACGGGAGTTTGTTCCTCCAGTCTTCGATGGAAGCTTGAATCCGACAATGTCGCGACCTAAAACTATCGACCCGTTTCGAAAAGCAGCTCTAGCTTTCATTGTAACTCACCATGTTTTTCTTCATGATGTGCTGTCGGTCCTTGTTATTCCTCAACGTAAGAGGGTGGCCTAGATGTTCCTGTTGATTTCCCCTTCTGTAGATCTTCAGAAGGTCCAGCAGGAGATTGACTCCCTCGCTCGGTTCCACGGCAAACTCCTCCACGAAGCTGGGGAAAAGAAGGAATCATCAATTTTAAACCCAGCGACCCATCGGGCCCCTAAGCATCTCCCCGATGGGCTCTCGGCACTCTGACAAGCACTTCTTGGACGGCCCGATAGTGGAGGGACATCGAGATGAATGACGCCTTCTCTCGACGGCATTATATCAGACGCGAATTCCTGGCTTGACCACTGTTTTTTTTTTCGGTACGACGGCCTGTGAACGCAGCCCGCTTAGAAACGAAGCTCATCACGCTTCGATTCTGAGTAGGGACTCGAGGATATCACTATCGAGACATCAATCAGAAATCTTGAAGGCGTTCCGAGTCGTATTTATGTGCTACTGGACTTCGATTCCAATTTGCAAGGTTGCTTGTCTCTGTCAGTCAGAGGCGAATGACTTCAGAACCGTTAGTCATGGGGTGGGGTCGCTATCCCGTAGTCAATGTTTGACAGCGGCTACTGTTGGCATCTGTCTTCTGACCGGTTTCCCCAACGCCACCAGCTCCCTTCGAATACACAAGCGACCATCCGAGACAGCAAGAACAAAGAGTCGATGCCTCTGCGGGGAAAATGAAAATCACTCTTCCTCAATAGGAGGAAAAGTGACTCTTGAAGTTCGCTCTCTGTTGTTTACCTGCTGTAAGAAGATTTCAAATCGTCTTTGAGTCGTCTCATAAGGTCCGTGAAGTTTGTGAGCTCCTCCATTGACGCTTCGTGCGCGTCAGTACTCTTCATTGCTGCTTGGCAAGCGGCTGTTTGCCTCTTTATGTAGAAGATGTAATCAGTCGCGGCGAGGTATGGCGGCCGGGGATTGTTCGACTGAAAATAGGGAAATTCGTCAGTATTTGAACTCATCAAAAACCGTATTGAGTAGCAGAAACAACGACGACTGCGATGATAATAATAATAGGAGGTTTTCTGTACGCGATTCCCAATCATTAGATCTCGAGGGGTCTGCGACCTTCTAGTGGCAAGGTTATCATCTAGAGTGATCAGAAGTGTCGAAGTTCCGCTCGGCGTTATGACGGATTTCGCGGAAAAATGGGCTGGCTCACTTTGGCGTACAGCGCTAATGAAATTTGATATACACCCGTACAGTGTCGACAGCGAAAGCGAAAACTTCATGAATGCTTCTCTTTCCCCTTATAGAATAAATCCATTGCTCCCTCATTCAGTTCCGCATCCTCGGACTGAAGAAACTTTTGGGATTGTTCAGGGCGAGAACGTCGTGACGTCGGCTTTCCCAGTAGAGCGACCCGACGAATCTAGTAGAGGGTGTGTATTATTTAGACACCTTTTGGGAACCTACGCCGTTTTCTCGCCTTCCGTGCTAATAACACGCGTTTCGGTAAAGGACCGACGACGCATCGCTATGTTCCGTGTCGTCAAAAACGCATTTCGAAGAGGAGCGGCTCTTCTCCGACGTTATACTTGACGGGGCGTCTGACGGGACACCTATCACAATTTCATTCATTGACCGCACCGAAAACTCATTACTCATTAGCTCACAATACAATTAAGCGAACGGGTGTCCCTATGTGTCGCAAGCACTCTGGCCGACCATTCTTACACTCGATCAGAATATTTCTAGACTTTCACGATTCGCCTTGAATAAGGATTGATTGATAATGGAAAAAGACATGTTGCTTCTTGAGACCTAAGGATTAATTGGCGGGACGTGTGATCTGAGGTAGAACCCGGGGGCAAACATCGAATATGCGACCACGGAATCGAGGGAGGGGTAGGGAAATCTTAATGTTATACTTATATGCACTGTTTTCGAGCATCCGAGTTCCGGATCCTGCCGCCTGATAATGCTCATCCGCCGGCCTTCTGCATGACAACACCCTTTTCGCTGATGCCATCCATGTATTCCTCTCGATATCCATAATTGCCAGGTCTTTAATCACCGCCCAAGAGGCTGCACCGATTACGGGATCTTCTGCGAGTCGGTGCTTTTCGGCAACGGTGGTATATGTCTCTTCTGGAAGCAATTGCATCGGCATCGACAATTCCATAGTCTGACTGTTCGATCGCTGCCAGAAGCCCCCATCGAAGACTACCCACTCGCCCGATGCCCACTTGAGTCGACCGGAGTGACTGGCTGACCGGAGAACCGATGGACCGGCTGACTCCGCCATTGCAGCAAGGATGGAAGTGAAGAATGAGTGTATAGACATATATACATACATACATACATACAGGTGAGGCGAGACTCATCATAAGCCACCGAGATTGCGGAGGCGAACCATCCGACGAAAAAACAATCGCCCAGATCTCCCTCGTCTTCGAGGGATACGCGTGAATCTCGTGAGGGCAGAGAGGCGCCATTTGTGACTGCCGCTTCTCGAGCCAGATCTCGGCCCAGGGTTGTAACACCATGCGCGACCAAGGCTATACGAGGAGGCTCAATCGTTTACCCCAAATTACCGATGCCGCTTTAACTTTCCGTCTTTCTCCGTTGACGATACAATTTCCCAACTTGTCGGAATCGTCGACACTCAACCGCGCACTGTTTTCAGAAGACCCTGACCACATAGGTGCCTCATTTTCGTCGATTATGAGGGTGCTTCACAGCACGAATACTCCGCCTGATTGGTCACCGGGCGGATGTTAGGCGCAACGACAAGTGTTTGGGATAGACTATGGGATAATTTCCCTTGTTCCGGAGAGTTTCAGAATCACTCGCAGCCCTCTTACTACGAAAGACAACGCGGCATTTTCTATTCACCACACAACGAGGCTTCTTTTCGGCCTTCGGAGCACTGCAAACGATGGGAAGGCCCTCAGACATTCCCTGTCTCGCTAATGCGAAGCTGGACTCTTGAATGTCGCAGAAACCGGTCTTCCAGACCCCCGAAATCCATGGAGGCCGGTACTTGAGCTCAAAACTTCCCTGGAGAGACTTCTCAGATTTACGGCGCCTGATGCCTGCCGCGAAAGTCTGCGAAGAGAAGCGAGGAAGCGTTCTTCACACGAGAACACGATCAGAGGAGAGGAGAAGAAGGAATTAGAGTGAAACTCTGTCGATTATGAGCGACAAAAGTATCGTCATTCGCGGAGCGAAGGAAAATTCGATTGATCGCTGATGATCTGATTCGATGCTGGTCAGACGATCACGAACTCTGGCTGTCCCGTCCGAAACAAAGAAAAAACGGAACCGAGGAAAAAAGCGGGTTTTTGACAAGCTACGAGTAGATGGTACGCTCGGATTTTCCGCGATCTACATCAAATTCGCGGGTTTGGTCGCAGCTTCGATAGTTTACCCCGCTTGTCCGGCCGACTCGGGAAAAATGGCCGCAGATCTATCCGGTCTTGATGTGGACATGTGCACGCGGCATCCATCCCGTTCCTCCCTTGTGTTCTGATTTGATTCTTCGTCACGCTTTACGCGGAGCGGCATCAGAATCATGTGCAGCAAGCTACCAGCTCCGTCAGGCGTCTTCATGGTCTGGCTGATCGACTGCAAACTTCAACGATCAGGGGGAATGCATTGCAGCGCGTTTTTTGTGACGTTTAATTTCAGTCTTCGATTCGCATGTTTGATAGCTCCCATCAAAAACCATAATCAGTATGATTATCGCTCACACCCGAAAGAGCGGATAGCTGTCAACAATATTTTCTCCTTTCAATCGTTTCGAAGAGTGATCAACTTTTCGCGTAAATGCCGATTGCATCGACACTTTTCTGATGACTCTGAGAAGTGTAGGTGAACAAAAGCCGGAGTACCACAGACGCGCCTCTCCATCAGAGAAGCAAGCAATGCGGCAAGGCTAGCGTGCTTCTAGAACTTTGACGATTTAAATTGTCATAAAAAAAAGCTGCTCGCGTGTGAACGGCTTCCTCAACGTCCGACTATCCATCTGTTCGTGCACTCGCTCATCCAATCGTTCATCCAACATCCGACCAGCCCCTACCCCACAATCAATAGCGTTGAGGAAGGAAAAAATGAAAAACACGCTTTTTTACAGCTCGGGTTTTCTCGATCCTGGTGACGCGCGGTTTCCGACTCGGTCCATTTTAACTTGAATCGCCTTCCGTTGTCATCTTCCTTCCCGAAAGACGTTTCATTTGACCCGGAGATTCGGTGACCGCTAGAATGTTATCGTCGTTGACATTTGCCAGAGGTTTGAAGCCGTCTCCGCAGTTTGAGGCTTTTTTACTGCCTCCAGAAATCGACTTGGGACGAATTGGAATATTGACGAAGTCTCAGAGAAAGACATAGTTGTCGCTCCCTAAAAAATGGATTCAGAATCTCAATAAAGCTCCGTCCGAAGCCGAAAGGAAGCAACATTCCAGAGCTGCGAAGTTCCAGCAAGAGGGAAATGGAACATCCCCCAAGAGGGGTCTACGGGGATTCCATTCTGGATGAGTCTCAGTATGAGCCTCTCTCCAATCGGAGTCGAGCAGCCGGAAAGCCGATCATCGTTGCAACGATCTGCCAACGAGCGGTCCGAAGCAGCAGCAGCAGCGGTTTGTCGAATGACAGAGCGGTTGACCAACGCTCGGAACGAGAACTGTCCACCCACAAGTCTGTAGAATCTTCATCTTCGATCTTCGCGAACGTGACCCAGACTTAGTCGATGGGCAAGGACACTGCTGATGAAATTCCCAGTGTTTGACGATGTGAATGGTCCACATAGCCCGCACCATAAATTTCGTCTAGCTCATGGATCAGACTCCGAGATTTCAGAGCTCAACGATTCCACAAGGGTACGCGGAGATGTCGAGTGATTGATGGAAAGTCTGATAGACTCGCGATTTGTATCTTGTCGATTCCGACGCTACGAGGGGGTTTCGACTGTCCTTGTTCTTTCAGATGTTTCTCCTGATGCTGAGAATCTGCAACTGCCGTTTTATCCGTCCGTAGGGGTGAACGCGATATCGAGTCCCGTCCACTTCAGAAACAGCTACCCGTATATCGTTCTGATAAATTTTCACATGGATACAGCTAGGCCGTCATTATGTAATGAGCTCGTGAATCAGTATTGAGCAACTCCCACGTGCAGCTTATACTATAGTACTTGTCAATCTGCCGATGTCCGAGGCGGTCTCGATCGAGTAACGTCCGCCAAAAAGTTACCCAAAGGATTCAACGCTGGGAGTCCCAGTAGAAATGAAAGTTTTCCATCTTTGAAGGGCATCCATACGGAGCGGATCAAAATGCGAGCGTGAGTTTTCACTCGTTGCCTCGGACTTACACTGTACAAACCAAAGCCTCGTGAAGCGAACAGTGGTCGCTGGAGGCTTCGCCTCTGAAGGGGTTCATCCATTGCTGACAACAGTCTTGTAATATTCTTAGAAGTCGAGGAAAGACGATCAGTATGTAACTGGACCGCGCTCATCCTTCGTACACGCCCACGAGCAAGTCGATCCGTCCATCACCGCTAGAAGATTGAACAGCGAGCGGGGGAAAGACAAACGCACTTGACTTTCCACGGGCGCGAAACTCGAAAAAATGAAATTGAGCACTCATTCTTCAGGAGAGATCGGGCTGCCGGAATGCGGCGGCCCAAACCCCTATGAAGCTTTTTCACCTGAGGGAGCTTTCCCCGGTGAGACGGGGGCCTGCGTCGCGAGCGAGTCGTTCGTCGACACACCACCGAATGCAATCAAATAGGGAAGTTCCGCGGAACATGTTAATTTGTTCATTTGCATCGAACGGCTCATTCCGTTTCGGGCCTGATGGACATGTCCCGTAATTTCCGATGGGCGTTTTTATGTTCCAGTATTCTACCGACGAAAGCACCTGATCAAATGAATATGAAGCAGTCAAGGAATGCTAATTCAGACTACGGAGACTAAGCGACGGAGGGAATTTTTGTCAAGGACTCGGTGCTTTCCCCTTCTATCACGGCTGAGAATATCTATCCAGACTGAATTGATGGGAAGAATCTGTTGAAACGAACGACAAACACGAGAAAAATTCGACACTAATCCAGGGACAGACAGACAAATCTCCTGACGGGTATGTCAGCCTTCAAAGTCGCGGAAAGGAGACCCAGGGATCAGCAATCGCAACATACTCAACAATCAGATCGTAACGTGGTCACAGGACTACTGCCGGGAACCACGTCTGCTGCCGACGGTGTGGCAGAAGGCTACACGGAAAAGTGAAGTCATATTTCAGGAAAGTTTGATTTTAACACGAGTCGCTTTCACGCTTGAGTTCCTCGGCTAAAGAGGCTCGGCCCAAGTGAACGCTATTCGCTTACTACCATGTAGTGAAGGCAAGCGCCCACACAACCAGTGCGCGCGGAGCGGCCGACGCGATGTGCAAATTTTAAGCAGGCCATGCTCAAACGTTCTGTGCCGACCGTCATCGCTTAGACGTGCTGGCGTAAAAAGGGAAACATCAAGGAACGTTCGAAATCACGCCATAATAGTAGACTCGTCTCGCGTGTTACTTTCAAGCGAGCGTGTCGGCGACGGCCGGACTTCTAAACCTTCCTCCTTCGTCTACGCTTGCTGCCGCGTGCCGCGGCTCCTCGCGGTTGGGGTCTTGTTTCTGCGAGGTTCAAGACCACGGAGGGATCGATAATGATAAATGACGAGAGTCTTCCCACCGGAACTCACCCGACTTAGAGTGTTGCATTGCGAACGTCCGCTCTGATATGGGCTATTGGAACCGTGGGCCCTGGCGAGGTTTGAGCTTCCTCCGTCGAGGTCTGGGCCCCGTATGGGGGTCATCTCGAGGTCGGACACGTATGCAGGACAACGGTATATTCCTGAAAGAAGAAAAATTTAAGAGAAGTCCGAAAAGGAAACGTCCAAAAGAATCTCACACTGCGCTAATCCGATAAGCGGCTCGAGGGACGTTCGCGCAAAGTCCCTCTGATGGGGAAACTCTGTATCCCCCTCTCCAGAAGACGATTGAGAGACCCATGTGAGGCATCAGAATTAGGCGTGCGAGAGGATCACCAATCGAGCGTAACGGATGAGCCCTGGAACATTATGGGGTGACTTCTTGACACGCCACCAACGGAGGAGCGCTCGATGCGAATATCACCAAGCGAGGTTTTTTGACAACGATTGAAACCCTGTCAATTGCTCTGACGGCGGTTTTCCCATCTCCGTGAGCTGACGAAATTCGAGTTTCTCATCCACCACGGAATTGCTCCGATGCATCGCGATTTTCGACTATGCCGCGGTGGTTCCACAGCAGACGGGTTGTATCGAACGAGGAGCTCCAAAAAGAAACGGTTGTCAAGCCCTCTGGTGAGCTTTCCGCTTTCCGACCTCACCATTTGTGCTTCGTATCGGCGTTCGGAACCGCGCAGGCCTCATGATTCTCATTAGCGTTTGCGTCGACGAATTCATCCCGGAGTTCGATCTGCGGTCAAACATTAATCTCGCCGGTCGATCGGAGCCCTCGTTATGCAGGAGCTCCCGCGGAACGGTAGCTGTTGAAAGCGCCAAAGCTGTCTCACTATCGAAGAATGTCGAGGAATTAATGCTCGTTGGAAAATGGAGTTCTCGGCGATGTTTGGCAGTCATGGAATCGTCGCTCGAAGAACCGGTAGGAATTCTGTGTCGACTTTCGAAGTACGGCAAAGCGTCAAAAGCGATCCTTCCGCGACGTCTACGCTGCCTTACTTTCTTCCCGCATTGATCTTCCGAAAATCGCAACGGGTTCCCCATTGAAGATACCCAATTATACTGTATCGATGAGGCTCGCCGAACAATATGGAATTTCCATCTTTCGCAGTTTCCTTTTTATTAGGATGATCATGCCTAGAACTAGGATCTGACCGCGGTACCGATTATTATCGCTTGCCATCAACTGATCCTCTCAAGTCTGACTGAGGCGAAGCAACTAGGCTCCGCTCGAAGGTCCGCGATTATTTCCAATGAAGCTCCGAGTTCTTTAGGTTCATTGGAATCTTTCACCTTCAGATCTGTAGTAGCGGCACCCCGTCGGGGACGTCGTTGATAACGTGGTGAGATAGAACAGCTATTATATGGACAGCAGACTTGAAGAATGGCATTTCCCAGACGGTGCGCCTTGCTAACGCAGCCGCCGTCTCCTTGTCGTGATAAGGAATCGCATGTAGACAGAGCAGAGTTCTGGCTCGCTGTCGTAAATCACCTTATTATAGAAGCACATGACGGAATGTAATTTTGTCAATTGCTTCCGAATTAGCGAGCACCGTATTCAGCCAGACGGGGCGATGGTGGTCGGGGCACGTGCGTTATTCTGCTTCTGTACTGCTTGGTGATTCAATACGACACTCCGTCGCCGCGATTTTTCATCACATGACAACAAGAGGCTCCCCGGGCCCCATTGACGCGCGAGATCTCGGAATCGGTCACAGGCTCGGCTCACTCAACCTGCACATAGCCTCCTCGGATGGATCATCTTGGCAGGTGCCCAGTGGCTCTCGAGTGACCGAGTATTCCAGACAGTCATTACGGGTTCAAGTCGTAGCAGCCTGACAAGTCGTCCTCAGCGGGCGAATTCATCGAAGGTCGATGACCTCTAAGCGAGGCGTGTTCCTGGTTACGTCAAGCATCAGCGACTGGATCATCTGCGCAGACAGCAGAGAGGTGGTCATGTGAAACGCATTCCAAGTTTTGATACAGCGCAATCTTTCGAGAGCTTGCGATGAGACCCCATCAATCATTAGCCGTCAGCTTTCACGTCGCCCGATGCTGCCGTCGGCGTCGGTTTTCTGCAGCTCCTCGTGGTCTCTGTTCGACCGAACGAAGGAACAGGGACGAGATCTTGGCCACTCTTGAAAAATCTATGATTTTACCAGTCTACTTTCCCGTGAATCTCACAAGTCGACGAATTCATCTTCTGCCTCTATTTTAAGGAAGATGAATTCGGCAACCCGCTCAAACGCATCTCTCACTCAGTCGATCGAAGCCAATCGGACAACCATGATCGGCGTCTACCGCTCGCCGAGTTCCTGCGGTATCAGGCGCCCGGGTCACCCGCTCATTTGCCTGGCTGAATAGCTGGGCGAGTTGTTGGCATCCTTACATCATAACATTGTCTGCATCCTCACAGAATGCTGTCACGAAACTCTGATGAACCGTCAGAGGCCCTCTGCGCTGTCAGCGAGAAGCACAAAAACTATTCCGTTCGAGACAAAGGTGCTAAAACACTGCTCTATTGTTCCGCGCCCGCGAGACCGGGAACGTTTAACAGTTTCGCGGACATTCTAGACGGGGCCCTCGCAAATAAGCTATCGGCAATCCGACGCAATCGAATGATCGTCTCGGCGAATCCCCTTGCCGAGAACAAACATGTATGTATATGATGTTTTCGTGAAGACAGATCTCCGAATATGTTCCGTCGACCGTCCTGAGGTTTGTTCGGGGACAATCCTTTCAGAAACTCGGATCCTTTCGGAATTGCCGCGTATCTTCACTCCCAGTCATCCCAGAACAGCAAGTCAACAGTATTCTAAACCTGTGTAGAAGATCCTCGAAAGTCGATGATCCTCGATGATTGAAAATTTCTGGGTGTTGCCGCGGGCACTCGCAGTTGAGTATCGACGCAGCATTTCAGATTTTACGAGTTTCAGATTATGGAAAAACGAAGAAAGAATCACATGCAGTTTGTTCGCAAACTTTGCTTGTTTTTCCAATTGTCCATCCATTCGACCGTGGCTCGTTCCGAAGACAATACACGAGAGAGATCTACGCGCGGCCGAACGGCAAAACGAGCCATTTCGGCTTACGGTTGTTATCCTAAACATTCACCGAGAATGAGCCTTTGAAATAGTACGCATTTTTGCGCCATCAAGCTCGCGTCGCTTCCATCCAGAAATCATTCGGCTGGGCGTTGGTCGTCGGTCGCTTCGACGGTCGCTCGCTTGCAGCTCGATGCGTCGAACGTACCGGAGAGTCCAGTATGAGACGACGCCACGCGAACGGTCGTGCGGCGATTGCGCAATTCAGGGTCTAACTATCCGTTCCCCCATCTCATGAGTATTTCGGATAATGGTTTTGAAAAATCTTGTTGTTCATTCTCCCTCCGTTTTTGAGAGTTGAACGGACAGCCGGCCAATCCACCAGACAGACGAGCGGGCGGGCGGACGACGGACTGGGCGGCAAACGAGCAGGCAGGAGGAGGGCGGGCGGGGTCAGCTGACGGAAACAATCTCTCAGTCCGATCAAAAAGCTCATCTGACCACGGCGATTATGCGCGTTTTTCGCTCGCTGGCGTTCTGCTTTTCATCCTTGAATATACTCCAATCAGCCACAAGACATTTCGACATTTTCGACTCTTCATCTGTTGTTTTTTCCGTCGCGTCCCTTCGCCATCGGATCGCACACGTCGATTTCGTGCTCCCTGTCTGTCGGCCCCGAGTTGTCGCTGAGCGAACCGCTTTTGGGGAAGATAAACCCCAATGTCGCGGGAACTCCTCGTGCCGGATCGGAGATTGGATGGAACTCTGGCAGGGTTCCATTGCGCCGCGAGTCGGAACAACCTAGCGACCAGAGCTTGTGACTCATCGTTATTGTAGGCGATTGCTACATCTCATCTTCAGCGAATGCTCCGAGTGCTATTATTTTTTGTCATGATTCGCAATGAGATGATTGTGTCGCCGAGGGACCTTGGATCGGGTGGTAGTCCGGGCTTAACAATAATATCCGGATCGGGCAAAAGTGGGCAGATCACGAGTTCTGAAGGTGAGCTCCGGGAAGCCATATTGATCGAGGCGCTATTCCTCGTTCGATAATAATGGAATGATTCCACCCGATCACGAACCAAATCGATATATCTGCCATGTGCATAACTTTTTTAGTTGTTGCTGATCGCGGTACTTCCCGAGCACCCGGAAGCGACCATGATCATCTTTCATGTTTGACAATTCGCTCGGGAGTGCCATGTTTGAGCTTCACGCGGAATTCAACGCAGAAAATCGATGAGCCTCCCCAGAAATTTCATCGGGTTGATAAGAAGTCAGGCCCTCGTCGCAGGAAATACGGGGACGACCTCACTTCCGTAGGCGTCTATGGAATTTTTCGCGAGGATTCCGCAAGTTTCGAAGTTTCGCTGCTCCTCTATCCGATTGGACCATCTCGAACTCATGTACATACATCACGTTGGATCAAGGGTCGACAATCAACATCTCATTGTCGGTAGTCCAGAAGTGATTGAGTGCGGTGGCGGTGGCTGCGGCCGCATCGTCGCTGCTCTCGTCACGGCTTCAGCGAATTCCCCGTGTCAGATGCTCGCGAAGGCTACGAATATTCATGACATTGTAGCACCCACCGGCTCACTCTTGTCTAATCTTGTTTCTCCTACACAAACTTGAGCTACGAGCTTAGTCGGCTCACGTGAAATACGTTCAGGGACCATGTAGGCTCGACCCGCTCTTGTGAGATGGTTAGCGCGTCTAGCACGTCATCGCTTGGACGTTCACAAAATTTTGTGAATTGTTTTCCAACAAGCAGGGAATCTCGGGTTCGAATACTGTGGCGTGCCGATGCCTGCGGCGCGGCGTTGGGATACGATCTGGAGGTCTCTTCGAGGATGCCCGCGGCTTGTGTGGCGTTCGGAGTGGGTTTGACGGTGTCCCCGAAGCAAGATCGGGGTCTCGTGGAGCTTGTCCTCGTGAAAACGTTCTTCGTGAAAGATCGCGAGTTTTAATGAGGGGAGAGCCATTGACGGCAAGAACGCCCGCAGGAACTCGCACCGAACCCGTGGTCCCGAGGTGACTATTTGAAGCGTCTCCCGCCTAATCCAGACGTCCAGACCCGGTGCGCGCAAACTCGTATCGCAGCCTCTCTGCTCGTCTGCTGCTCCGCAATGAGCAGCGCCCCGGGATTGACTCGTCTCAATGACTGCGAATCATCTTGGGGTTCCAAAATACAAGTCACCTACTGTAAATATGTCTCAGTTTCTTTCGCCGTTGTACATCGTGACATCAGTGCTCGGCGTGAGGCAAGACGCTCGTCAGCCTATTGGACGATCCGTCGGCCGCAAGGATCGATGAAAAGCGTCGCCCTTCCCGCGAGCTCGCACGCGCTGATCAACAGAATTTTGTTTCCTCCTACGGAATCGTAAGATTGACGCCTGAAAATACGCTCCGAGACGTAATGACAAGGTCGGACGCAAAATATTATCCTCCCCAAACTAAGGATCTATCAAAAAGCGAATCAGTCTCGCCGACACGGTGAGAACGACCACCAGCTGAGCGTTGAGCTCATGCACTGATTCCAGTGTGGAGCACCTGCGCCTCATGGCGGGGACTCTCGGAAAAAATAAGATAAGCGTTTCTAGAGCTGCCAATCAGATGAGCTCCAAAGTGTGAACGCAAGACTTTGTTCTCAACAGCTTCTTCAGATCAGCGCTCTTCGTCGAAAAAGTTTTCCGCGGAAGAAACGAAAAATAGATTACTCCGATCAATCTCGAGCGAGCGGTCGGGCGATTGACCGACCGAATATTCGCGTTAATGCACCTATCGCTTTTCACCGAGATTGATCGGGGAGGGTGATCAGTTACCAGATATGCAACAGACTCGCAAGCATCGTCTCGCAGAGTTTTTTTTGCAGCCAGGACATCATTTACTCGATGATTGGACGTCGACGTCGGCACCGGCGACGACGATACGTCGACAAAAAAACAAGAGGGCAATATTCAAGGAGCGCGAGCTCGCGAGTGGCTCCGTCTCCCTATCTCCAGATGGCACGCAAATGATTCACTCGATCAGTGGTTGCTTGTTGGTCGGTGGCTCGTTCGCTCACTGGATGCCTTTCTGGTCGGCTCCAATCCGACTAGGGACGTCGCCCACTTCAAATTTTTGTCTTCTTAGTCTTGATTTTCTCTCTAGACAGCGTATGGTGGGACACCCACGGCTTTTTGTTTGTTGTTTTCGCGGCTGAACTTCCAAGCGCCAGATATGAGAAGAAGACCTCCATCTACACACCAATGCACGACATTTCTCGAGTTACTCTCGCTCAGATGCATGAACCCTTTAGGCTTCTCTGAGCTGACAGTTTGGATCATCTTTTCAACCTCATGAATGCAGCCTCTATTAAGCCCAGCGAAAGATTGGATTACTCTTCGAAGTTCCCATGGAAGGGATCCCAGCGGAATCGGTGACGAGCAGCAGCGTCAAGCGAAACAACCCCTTTGTGCGATCGAACAATGTCAATGGGCTTTCGTTTAAGATCGCTGTTTTTTCCGTACCTATCTTCAGAATATCTGCGGAATTCCTCGATTCCCCTTCCGTCTCAAATAATTGCGCTTGGCCATAGTGCGCTCAATCGAGCCGCCGGCTGCATCCAACGCTCGAGCTTTGATTCATTCATGAATCTGAATAAATTCAGACGCGAGACGAAGCCCGGATTTCAGGTAAAAATTTCGGCAGAGAGCCTCCCACAGCCAATTCGGGGTTCCGTTTCGTTTTGCTCAGCTTTTTTCCGCTGAAACGAATGAATTTATTACTTTTGGAATGCTCAAGAAGCTCGGTCATTTGGGAGCAATTTGTTGGCACGCTATATTTTCCCTATTGTCTGTAACATTGCTTTTTCTTCGTTCAATAGCCGTTTAAAACGATCTACACAGCGATGAGCGATTTCAGAACACCTGACGGAGCTCAGGGGCCAGATCTAACCGTCAGCGTGATTTTTTCGCTTTAGTCCGAGTTTCAGCGATTCCGGGAGTCCCCGATAGAAGACGTCAACAGATTCGACAACACCCATCTTCTGTCCTCGGGTCACCCACAATAGAGCCAGGCAAGCTATTGGCTGCTCCGAAGTATTCCGAATAAAGATATACCGGTCCCGCTCGACATGTGACGGCCGCAGTGTGCTCACCCAGCATTTCAGAATATGTATAAGATCAATTAATCGTGGCAGAGAGGACATTACGCGGGATCGGAGGTGTCAGCAGGCTGTAGGCTGTCCCTTCGAATGACACAACGACACCTGTTGCTCAAGCGGATGCCAGACGGATCCTCCCCCCGGAACCACGTGTCGTGACACAACCAGGACCTTCAGAACAGATCTCCCTATCTCCGGGGCTCATCCACGGAAACGCACCGAGACTTTCGCCTCCAACGGCGTGGCGATAAATTGCGCGAGAATACTCGAGATGAGGGGATCGTACGGTTCTTCCATCCGGATCCGAGAATAGGAAGAATTATTCCGAATTGAGGTTACCTTGCATGGCCTATGGAGTAACCAAATTCCGACACGAGGAAGTGAAGGGTATGCCTCGGAGCCAGACCAATCGGGAGGGATGAGACCCCGCGCGTTCCGTTGAATCTTCGCTGGTTCCTCGTCTTCGGCTTCCCAGCTTTCAACCATGATCTTGTTCGGAAATCGAGCTGATGTTACCGTTCGGCCGGCTTCGGATAGACTGCGACGGACGGACGCACATCTTGAAGGATTTATGGATCCTACTTTATTCCACATGAGACACCAGCTACTTCCATTGTTAACCCTTCTCGACAAGCGGTATTATCGATCCTGCGTGAAATAAGCTCTAGGTCCGAAACCGCTACATATGGAACGCCTCCGGTCATACAAATGCCGTGTGCGACCGATCTCAGACGATGTAGAGAAGCAGGAAATCGGACGGTCAACCGACATTGTCAATTGAATGTTATCCCGTTTTTGAAACGGTCGTTGTGATTTGTCATTGGACAAACGCCAATCGATACGATGGGAAGGCGTACCGTAGGAGATGATACCCATTTAGCGGAGCAGTTAGTTCTCCCCATTGCTTTCCCCCGCTATGTCTCGGGCTCGCCAAAAGAGGTCGTGACCCAAGTCTTACGACGATATCGGCGAAGCTCCGCAGCGGCGATTCACGACGTTTGACCCTCTCTATTGAATCATCGAATCTGCGAGCTTTCATCAAATCCTGCGGGAAGCTCCTTTTTATCCATTGATTTCTCCAGCGTACATCATTGTGAGCATTCAATGGGTCCCGGGAAGCTTCTTCTGGATCGTTGAGCTCATCCATGTCTGTGAGCGGTCACTCAATAGAAGCTCCAGCCTCCAAAGAATCCTTTTGCAATAATAATTATACAAACCATCAACAGACAATTGCTCAGATGAGATCTCTCAGGATTTTGTTTTTGCTCGAAGGTCTCAGGAGAGCAAAAAATGAGTTGCAAAGCCGACCGTTTGTCTTGTGAGAGCGATCATCCACAGGGACGGTCAGGTCAGTTGGCGGGCACTTCGATTTCACCGAAAGAGCGGAACGCTTCTTAAACGCTTTCCTGAGTAGTTCTTAGCGTTAATCTCCGAATTTCCGGCCGGCAGCTATTTCAGTCGGACGGCCGGAGTCATTTTTCAAATTTAGAATCTTTTCCATGCGACACCCGGTAGTCGCGGCGTGTCCAGACGAAACCACTGTTTGCTGTTGCTGCAGCTCGGCGTCAGATTCTCTATTCGCGTGGAACCCATCGACACTTTCCAAAGGAAAGCTTCGGATAGACGCTTGACCTGATGTAAATCTGATGGTGCGTCCGCACACTGATGGCGATCTTCTCGAAGGAGGTAGCTGCTATGTGACCGCGGCTAGAGTCGAATCGTTGACATAAATGTATACAAAGAATATATTCAAAAGAAGAAAACGAAAGCACCTTTCGAAATATTTCGCGGCCTTGACATTACGGTCTTCGACTCTACAGCTGGAGCGATCCCGTCCGTACCAGACCGACACAGTTGCAGCAGAAACACACCCAGTTGCATTTTGAAGCGAACTATTTCCTATGGGGAGTCCGGATCTTTTCAAAACAACGTAACTACCGTCGTGGTCTTCTTTCCGTCCCGAATATACCTCCCCAGGCATCGCTTATGTCGCCTACCTTCTGCCGATGTGTCATTAGTCATTAGATTCGTAGCGCACACGGCGCCCAGTCGGATAATTTTTCAATTAGGACTCTCGTTCACCAGGATCATCCATCAAGTCGATTGTGGATTTCCAAATCGATATCAAACGGCAGTGTTGCTGCTTCCACCCTTCTCTGTGAACTTACCCACTCCTATTTCGGGCGTGCACATGTTATCTAAATATTGGCATATCAGATCGATATTCGGCGGTCTCCAGACGGCGTGATTCCCGGATGAGAACGATAACTCGGAGCAGCTCGGAATGGTTTCCGTCTCTGATCCAGAAGAGAACGGGCTGGGGCATTGACAGTACGCTGGTCTCATCTCGACGATTCTCTACAACAGCCCTTGACTCGATAGCACTTCACGAAGAACAGTTCAAGGGGTCGCGTAGGCTTTCTCGTAAGAGTTGCCCGTTGATGCTGGTCGGCTACCGATAAACGCGAGGCGCCGCCGGTCTTGAAGCATTCATGCACGAGTCACGACCACATCAGAAGCCGCTGTTGAGATTTCGGAAAAGCACTTCAGTACCTCGGAGTCACGATCTTCCAATCACTCAGTCACTCAATCGCCGCAGTACCGCAGCCCCGAATCTCGCCGCGAGCGGCAGTTTAGCGCAACTAAACACTGGCACGGTTGCTGTACTAGTGGGGTGCTCGAGCTTGATCCGTGTGTTTCGTCGCACACCACCAGATGGGTTGCCAGAGACCGAAAAAGGAAAGAGGGGTCTACACGCGGTGTACGGGGTGACAACACGAGACGAGAACCGTCATCATCCCCTTGATGACGGAAATACGCAGCCGCGACGAAGATGTTTCTCCCGAGGAGCCCCAGTTAAAAAATATGCATGTATGCGGTCAATGAATGAACTCGTCACTCGTCAGTATGTTACACGACGAGAAACTTGCCACTACTCTAGAAGCCGGTGACTTTCGCGACTTCGTCGATTCCCGTCGTGCTGGTCACACTACCCTACGGTCTCAGGGTCCAGATCCTCGAGCTATTGAGATTCGCTCCTTCATGCTCGTATCGAAATCCTGCCCAGGTCCGAAATTTAGACAAATCACCGTCAAGCCTGCTTGAAATCAAAACAATCGAATCGAGAACCCCAAGACCGCAACGAGGAACAGCTGCAGTCGATCGTACGACGGCCATCGAAGGCATCTGGCTCTAACGAAAAAGAAAACGGACACGCAACAATCGAACAACGGCACATTTGCCGGTAGTCGTCGACAGGGAACGTCCCTGTGGGAAAGAATTTCTCGTCTGCTTGGAGGGTGCGAACTTGGCGCGAATGGCTCGCTGTGTCGATCTCTGGGATTTGGTCAAGTGATTTTCGGAGATTCGCCTGAACGTTTCTGCGATCCCCTTGCCCCGCGAAAGTTCTGTGGCGTGCAGCTGACGAAACGACGATATTATAGATGGAGACTGGGTCGGATCGACAATAACGGGTGCGGTCACCGAGTTTTCGCTGTACATAAATACACAGGCTGTGCACGCAAGAGAGGGAGCGGGGAGCTTTCTGATTGAAGCAAGTGTTGACGCGTTGTTCAACCCCTATTTTATTGACATGGGCTCTGGATTTTGGCACTTTTGAAAAATTGAAGACGAACCGAACAATGGCGTGAAATATTGACTAGTGTCTCCCCTCCTCCTGTTTTATGGTCCATTGAGGAATTTTCTCGCAGCTCGTCTGCATACTGCATCACCGTCTCGAAGGGAAATCACACAGGGACACAATGAAAGGACACTGCGCAGCCTGAATGCTCGCATTTTCCGTAATCTTGCGGTGATTCCGCCGCGACGGATTCTGCTGCGTGCGGACGTTGGCTAATCACGATAGCTTTTGAAATACAACAAGACAGTAGAACATTTTCTACGGAATCGTACGACCCAATGTCCACATACGAAGCGAACGCGCCTCGCTTTTTCGTGATGGATGTCAAACACGTGAACGTATAAAGGCCAAAAGCTCCGCCATCGGGGCGATAAATGATAAATTAAGTTGAAGTCTGAAGATGTATTCTTCGATTAACAATGACTTGTGCCAGGGCGACGGGGCTCAAACAACACCACGAACTTCAAGGTGACTGGAGAATCATGGCAGTACAATCACACGACAGTGGCAGATCATGCCGTCGACGCCGTAGTGGTTGGCGCAACACCGGCAGCAATAATAAGTCGCACGCAAAGTTAATTATTACAATTGAAATTTTCTGAATGTCCTCGCTAGATGTCGTACGAAGAAGCATCAGTTCGCTATGTTATCTGGTCGTTTCTTCGCTCATACACCCTCATACACCATTGAATATCCGCCTGACGGAGACGGGATCGAGGAGCTAGCCCGTCCGAAGATATATCACCGTCCTCTCGAGACCTAGAATAAGTCTCCTCTGATCGGTCGATCAGAGTGTCGTTTGCGGTCCGATGGCGGGGGGATGTTCTGGAAGTGATTCATGGATCCTTCACGATCATTATCGGGAGGCATCCTTTTTGAATTTTGCCCACGCTCCGTTGTCGAACGCGTGAATTCTAATCGGTTTGCTCATATAATATCTGTGGCATTTGATTTTTGAAGACCATCGCTCCATCATTCTCATCAATATTGAACCGCGCGAACTCGAGCAGAAACCCCAGTGTCACGGAAATTTCTCCTGAAGGTTCGGGTCAGAACTTCTCGCTAAATTGAACGCAATGCAGTACGCGTCGCGTCATCGCCCATTCGTTACAGCCCCGCGCACGATTTGTGACGCTCTTTTTAATTGTGGGCTAGCTGCCAAATATGGCGGCGCTCTGTGGTCACTTTTTCAGCCGGAATTCGTTGCATAATTCGTTTTATTAGTCGCTGCGCTATGTAGGTGGTTACTCTCTCGATCAGAATGACGTGCTAATTCGCCAATCCGAAGGTTCCACGGTGAGATCAGAAATTCGAGGGAAACGGGTCTTCGACGAAATGAGAGCTGCCCCCCTTAGTCGGGACTAGAATGTGTTCGGCAGCCTCGATAAGTCTGACCTGGTCGGGGCTTCGCGATTGGAAACTCACCCCTATCCAACAGACTGCGAGTTCTCTCGTGCATTGCAGCTCTCTACGAAAGTTCCATCTCCTCGCGTATCGCGACGCATCCAGTACCGTCAGTTCTGAGCATAAATCAGCGGAAACTCCCGAGTTACCTGTACGCGAACCCTACGGTGGCCATCTGGCCCAATGGCGCGTGCTAATCGCGTGCTGGGCGGAAACAGAAGGTATTCGGCCGTCACTAGGACGGCGTTCTGAGGCTCATCTGAGCGAAGACATCTCTGTAGCAGCGCGCCGCCGCCGGAGAGAGAATCTTATTTCGACCGAACGCAGTTTCTTTCTCATCATACCGAGATTTCTCTCAAGTCCGAAAATTCTTTCTCTCGCTTCGCTATTCGACTGAAGGCGCTCAAGGTTCCGAACTTCGGAGCTGATCTAATCCAGGAGTAATTCAGTCGGATTTCTCCCTATAACCGTCGTCCTATGGCACAAACACGATAAATATCTCATTTTAACAAGCAATTCTCTCCATTTGTTCAGGGGAACGATAACAGGGCCGTAATAACCCTGCAATCATTCCCAGATCAACACGGCTGAAAACCAGTGCGCGTCGTACGCCGGAGGCCGTCAATACTTGTCGAATTCTCGAAATTCAAAGTCGATCGATGCCAACAGCAGTCGTTTAGTTTATTCCTTCATCCGTTATAATGGACCGCGAGCCGAATCACGAGCAAAGGAACATCAAGAAGAGGGAAAAAAGCGAAGAGCGGGGCACCGTTAGCCTCACAACCATCTAAAACACCGCGGTCCTTCATTAGATTCTATCAACTTTCGCTGAGTGTTATCAATTTTATGTCGGAAGCTACCCCGTAAGCATCCGACCAAGGTAGAAGATAGCCTGAGCAGGATTCGCGGCTCGCCGCTAGCCAGCGGAACAGACCCCAGCGCGATATAGCGCGATGCGAGTCATTAGACGACAGAGTTTTGATTAGCAAGTCGCCGTTCACCTCGGTCGCCAAGACACAAAAGAAGCGAAAATTATCGGGAGGACGGGGGAGAGAGGAAACAGAACAAGTGCTTCACCACGAGAAGCAGAAGTGAGGTCCCAGGCGTTTTCCTCAGTCAGTCAGTCATCCAGTCGGACCTCCCAGCTTTTTCTGATACAATAATTGAGCTCGATCGACGTGGGGGACCGAGCCAATCAAGCACATCCACCACGCTTAGCCTGCTCACCAGCGAATTTGATACGTCAATTTGCGGCCGTGGCGGAAGAGCATCACCCATCAACAGATTTTTTAGCCTAGCAGTCGCTTGAATTATGACTCAGGTGAAGAAAATGACGGTGCCGCGACCACTATCGCGGCTCAAGATTCCAATCCAGGCGTGAATCCAGCTGTTCCGAATCGGAAAAAATAATAGAAAAACGCTGCGAGATCGCAGAAGGAGCCCTCGACCGTTCAGGTGCAACTCACTTTCGAGCCGAGGCTTGCGAGGATATATAAATTATCCGGGAGCTTCTTATCGAGTTTTATCTTTCAGCCTCCCCTCTCTGACAATTTCCCCTGTCAGCCGATGATGACGAGGAACGCAGGTGTCGTGGACCAGTTCTGCTTCTGTGCACAGAGGCAACCTCTGACCTCAGCCGTCGGGAGCTCAAGAAGAGAACCACTGGGAATGATACGGCTGCATAATTACCTGGAAAATAAGATCTCACTAAGACTCAGAAGAGAGAAGAAAAGCGAGGCTCAACAAAGGGAGGTTTTGAGTTGGGAAGCGAAATTGCCTTAACCCTTCTAGATTTAGGAGTTCCGCAAACTCTGCGGAGGGATACCGCTCTTCATCCATTCAATTCTCTGGAATTTTCTATCTCATGTAAAGCTCCAAGACAAACACCACTATTGCGTGCCGTTCCATCGCAGACGTCGTTGCAAGCGTTCATACTTATGCTCCATGACGATTAGTTTTTTGATGTCATATTAATTCGAAAAGCTAGAATGCGTTCGTCGACTTTCTCACAGGGTTCACGACATTCATGAGAGCGATGCACATCAGCGACATTCCCTCGGCCCGTCAACCAGTCAGTGAGTCGGCTTCTACCTATCTTTCTGACTTCGGGGATTCACTTACGAGCGAATGTCAACTGATGAAAATCATGGGAAGGGCTCTCACGCAGCAACTCGGCCCGCTTGTAGTAACATCGTCGGTTCTCAACGATGTTCACGAAAGGCTCAAGCAAGACCCGAGTTCCGGCTTTGCAGGGAATCTGAATTCCTCTTTCGTTTTCCCCGGAGCTCGCTCGACTCCTTGT